TCATGTTCTCCTGGCAGAAGTCCTGAACCTCCTGGAAGTTCCAAAAAGAGGGCACATCCAGCTCCACTGCTCTGGGATCATACTCCACTGGGTCCATGGGGGACTCCAGCAAGAAGCCCACAGGTCCCTTCTTCTCCTCGGAGCATTCCTGCGCCCGAAGCCACAGGCCCATCTGCTTGAAGAACAACCGCCGTGTCCCCATTGACCTTCTTTCTGTCCTCCTCCGAAAGGCCAGGAAGGCCAAACCTGCAAACGTCCCTTCCTCTCAGAGGTGGGGGTCCAGGCTGGTGATGCCTCAATCTTGACACAGTTCGGCACGGCGGTCCCCCCACCACTGCCTTGATCAGCCCCTTCTCCGCCAGGCTCCAAAGGTATCCCCACAACGCACCGTCATGAAGATTCTGCCTGACGTCCTCCTCTATGTCGACCGTGACGACCTCATAGCCGCCCCAATCCTCCTTCCGCCATTCCTTGGCCTCACGGCCAGCGAAAAGATGCACCACGACGCCCTTGCTCGTTTCCCACTTCCTCCTCAATCTCCGATTGAAGGGGCATCGCGCAGCAACCTCTGCTTCTCCTTCCACCCGGCCCATGAGCTTCAGAACCTCATCCGGGATGCTCGGAAACCACCGCTGCCACCGCTCCTCATCCATCGTTCCTGTAGCCGCCTTCTCCGGGGCATCCAAGAAGTCCATCAGCTTCATCGCCTCTGCCCTTCGCATGACCGGACAGCCATACCGCAGCCAGCAGTGCAGCCTTCCATGGCCGGGGTGCTCAATGCTGCACCCTTTGGCATTCCACCCCACCACAAATCCAGCGTCCACCAACATCCTCAGTGGTATGATGGGCTCCACCGGCTCCAACGTCAAAATGGCAGACGTTCCGGCATGCTTGTACAGCACCGTACTCCCGCAAGCCAGTTCCACCTCCACCGCCGTGAGATTGTCCCTCTCGTCTCGTCGAGCTTGTCGTAGCGCGTGGGTGGCGCCGCCGTCCAACAACGCCACCTGCTCCTTTTCCTCACTCCTTCCTGCTTCCTTCCCGGCCGCCGCATACTTGATCTGCAGCGCCCGGATAGACCTCAAAGACTTCAGCAGGCCTGCCACTTCTGTCAGCAAACCTGAGGCTTCTTCCGACCCTCCAGGGGGCGGTCTGGCCTGCTCTCCTGTTGATCTCGAAGCCGATGAGGCGGCACCAGGGTTCCACCCCGTAGCCTCCCGGGACGCCTCCTCCGCGGAGCCCGGTGAGCCACTAAGGCGGCCCCTTCGCCACCAGCTGCCTGACCTTCTGTCGGCGCCTTCTCATCTCCTGGCTTCTTGACCTTGGACACCTTTGGAGCCGGCTGCTTCCAAGGGCTCACAGTCGTGGATTTCTTGACCGGGCAATCCCTCTTTCAGTGGCCCATCCCGGAACACGCAAAGCATCTGTTGGTCTTCTCCAGGCCTTCCCACGAGTGTGCATAGGTGCAGCTGCTCCCCTTCTTGCATCCTCCATCTGTTCCCCAAAACCTACAAGCAGGGCCTTGGGGCTTCTTCCTGTTGTCCGACGCCTCCGGAGTCGCCTCCGTAGCTCCTGCTGCCGCCAACGCTTTCAGGCTAGAGGTCGCAGGGCCCGTTCCCGTTGCTCCCGGAGTCGATGCCGCCTTAATCGCTGTCGTCAGCGAAAGCTCTTCTGCTTCAGCCTGCAGGTACTCCGCGAACTGCTTGATCTTCCCGATCTGAGGCCGAATATCAATCTGCAGCCCCTGCCGAACCGAGGAGATTCTAAATGACGCCTGAGCCCCGGTCTTGCCGACCACCTCTGCGATCTTTCCCAAGACCGTGATCAGCACCAGCCCGTCCGGAAGCGCCACATCCAACTCCTCAGCTCTTGCCAACCATCTCCTCCACAGTCTCAAGGTCTGCAGAGCATCACACAGGTTAGCCCCCACCTTCGGGTCGGTGAGATGCTTCAACAGGTTGCCCCTCTCCGAGGTGCCTCCAGGTTGATATACCTGGTGAAGCCGGAACATGATCTCCGTCGCAGACATCATCCGGGCAGAGATGATCTCCCTCCTATGGGGTCCGGCAAAGCCGCCAGTAGCATCGACAATCCCCTTTGCTCAACCCGGTGATTGTGTGCCTCAACATCCCCCAGCGTGGGCTTCAACCGGAGCTTCTCCAACGGTGTCGCCGTAAGCCACTCCGCGTAGGCTGCAGGACCTGCTCCCACCACAGCCTGGCCGATCCCGCAATGTCTGACATCAGCGGGGTGATGACCGTCACCCAATCTCCAAATTGCAGCGACGATCCCTCACCTCCGGGCGGGGGTAGACTAGGAAGCTCCAAATTCCTCAGGGCCTCCGACAGTCTAAAGGCCGTCGCAGCTTCACCACCTCCTTCCGTCGGTCTCGGAGGCGGTGGAGGAGGTCGATCCTCAGTGGCCCATCCATGAGCCAAGTTCCTCACTGCTTCAGGATGTGGCGGTGGCACCGGACCACCAGTTGCTCCTCCGTCCGACGCCGTCTTGTAGGAAACATCGTCTCCCGCCCTTGCTGCTTGCAGCCTCATAACTTCCCGCTCGAAGGTCTCCTCCGCTTCTCGAAGAACCCTTTTCCGTAGGTCCTCCACTTCACGATCTCCCCCAGAGCCAGGTTCCCGACGCTCCTGCGATGAAGCACCTCCCGGTGGCACCCGACTAAGGGCCACTCGTTGCTGCACCTCAGGACTCCAGAACGGATTCACAGCTCCAGGGCCCGGTGTTCCACCTCCATTCCTGCCGTAGGGGTCGTTCTGCGGCGTCCAATTGGCATAGGGCTCCAACTGCCTGGGTCGGACTTCCATCAATCCTCCAAGCAGACCTGGTTCGCTGCTTCTCCGAATGCCTTGATCGTGCCCTCCAAGGAGGTCCGGATCCGTTGCCTCCACGAGCGCCCTGATCATGGCCTCCGGAAAACCCATGTCCTTTACCTCCATGACCCGCTTGACCGTGCCCTCCAGGAAACCCACGTCCATGGCCTCCATGGTCCGCTTGATCGTGCCCTCCAGGAAACCCACTTCCATGGCCTCCATGGTCCGCCTGATCATGCCCTCCAGGAAACCCACGTCCATGACCTCCACGGCCTGCCTGATCATGCCCTCCAGGAAACCCACGTCCGTGGCCTCCACGAAAGGCTTGATCGTGCCCTCCAGGAAACCCAGGATCTCCGCGAGGCTCTTGATACCGCCGAGGATCAAGGATTCCCGTCCCGTCACCATCGTTCTCATCCAACCTGTGATGAGTTGCCTGGCCGCGAACCTGCCCTTCTTGCTGTCCCGGACCTTGCCCATCACGACTGCCCCGGGCTTGTCCTTCTCCAGGATGTTGGCCCGGCCTCTCCATTCCCGTCTCTCCAGGTGGCAAAGGTGGGCCACGGTCTCCCGCCCCTCCTGCACCAGGTTCATCTCCGCGATGTAGCCCCGGAGGCAGCGTCCACACCTCGGGTTCCCGACCCGCCGGCTCCCCACCGGCTGTCATCCTCCGAAGATCGCGCCTCTCCCCCACCGACCTCGCCCTCCGGGAAGACCCATGCTCGCGGATCATCCTGTCCAGCGCCTGGTCGGCGGTTTCTCCTTCACGAACAAGATCTTGTTGTTGTCTTCGCCTGCGCATCATGGCTGGCTTGGGCTCATAACCTACGGTTATGTTGGGGTAAAAACTAGCGCGCACCCTTTTCCGATGCGTCTTGAGCCAACGTTGCAGTTGGTCGTCCATGCTCACGAAATTTGAGTGCTCTCTTCACAGGAACATTTAAAGCCCATCTCCCCGCGGGGTTCAAACCTGGCAACTTCAAATTTTGGGGAGCTGTTTTGGGTATGCGAGTTTTCGTCCAACCGCGGTTTCATCTCAAAAAGCAAACAAGTCTAGTCCCACCCCAAAGCCAACGACTGCTCTTTGGATACCTTCGGGGTCAGAAGAGTCATTGGACGAGGTCCAGCGCGAAGCTTCGGGCCATTTTTTTCTGGAGCCGTTTATGGGGAGCAAAGCAACAGGGACTTGCACCAGATCCCAGGTTGAGTCCAAGAAACGGCTCCCGAGAAATCTGGAATGAAAAAGGAAGAAGAGACAGAGTAGCCGTTACCTGTTGAACCTAAGTTTTCGGTTTTGCCTGGGACGAACTACGTGGCCTTCCAATCCAGATGAGCCACGACCATTGTTCACTCGCCCGAATGACATGGAGAACCTCCAGTGGAAACTTGGCAAGACCAAGAGACATTCCCTTTTTACTGCAGACGGCTGTTGCACAGAAATCACGCCGCCCTTTGCCGCTGTGGCGCACACAACACCCCTGCCGTGTCTGTTACCCAGACGTGTCTGATCTCCAAAGCCACGGGAAGGCCAAGCTCGGCTTAGCCGAAGGCACAGCTGGTATCCAAGGGAATGGGATCGAGGCCTGGAGGGCTCAACAGGACAAACCACATCCGGGGGAACAAAAATTGGCCCCCCAAAAGGCTCCCGTAATTTCTAGGATCCCCTTTTGACCCCAGCCACTCGGGGGGTGACTTTTCCATTCTCGCCCGATGTCAAAAGCCCGCCAATTCCCTTCGTGTCTTTGGTGATGGTCTGGAATCCGGATGATTGGGTTCAAATAAGGTGAAGCTGCACCTACAAAGAAACGGGGAATGAGCTGGCCCTTGGGCAAGCAAACCTCTTCTTCCATATACATCTGCACTTCCCATGATTCCATTCCTGAAGATGGGGGTCCAAAACATCTTGAATTCTACCGGCGCTTTCCTGGATGGGTAAGGTCTCGGCAAAAACATGTCGATCCTCGGATTTTTGGTTGTTGGTTCTTGGTTCTTCCCTTTGAAGTCTTCCTTTCATAGGTGTCCTTTTTGGGAAAATAGATGGCCCTGGTAGTTGATTTAACCACAAGGTAAACCAGGGCCCTCTAATTTTGAACCAAATAAACAAAAAAGGACACCTATGCTTTCACTTGGGCGGGAGAAAACCCGTTTCCGCAGAACGACCGCCCATCACACCTCGAGCTGCTGCTTTTGGCCCATCGTGCTCTGCACCGCATCCTTCAACGCCAGCTCCTTGAGCTCACCCGTATGCTCCTGCGCTGCCCACCCTACCTTTCTTTACAACCCTTGGGCTTGCCAAAAGTTTCTTGATTTGTTTGGGGCCCCCGCTAAACATGAACAGAACCAAAAAACCTACCCTGAAATGACATGGCAACAAAGGTGAAGCTTTGTTCAGCTACTTGGTACACCTCCACGGGTGTGTCTCAAAATGTGACCGGACATATCGTCAGTTTCCTTCTCCCCTTTAAAACCAGTAATAACAACTGCACCCGCAAACAAATAACACCCGCCCCACATGAACGTGGCTTATCGGGGTTTAGTGCGAGGACCAAAGGCGGCCAGGGGATTCCCAAGGAGCTGTGCTCTGTCGGCAACCCAAATCCCAGGAGTTGGTTGCACAAGTTTGTCAGTAAAACCCGGGGGTTTCGAGGGGTTTAAAAAGCCGTGTCCAAATACTTCCATGGCCTTCGGGTGCTTTCGGGTTTTGGGTTCCCCTGGGTCGTGGGTGTCTCTGTCTTGTCTAAATGCCCTGAGGCCAGGTTGCCCCATTGCAATCAGTATACTGGGTTCGAACAACTTGGACAGTGATCCAGACCTCCAATGAATTTCAAGGAAAAAAAACGAGCATGCCTTCGTTTGGCCTGATTTGCAGGGGCTTCCCCACCCAAACAATTGAAAAAACGCCCTGAATTGGTCTGGTTCCCTAAACCCAAACGCTTGTCGCTCTCACAGGGTGCCTTTGCAGCCGACCGAGCCAGACCTCCCAAGTCGGTTGGTCAGAACAAAGTTCTGACTAGTTCCCTACAACTAGCATGATTTTCCCAACAAGTTTCAAACTCCACTCATTAGCTTGGGAAGTGAGGCAACACTAAAAACAAATGGATCTACGTTCTCCTACCATAGATCGGGAACATCCAGAATCGCCTTGCTTTGGTTTCGTGCCTAAGGACAATGTACGGGAAGTGGGCCATCCCTTTGTTGGGGCGCTCCCCAACCCATACATGATCATGCGTGACTTGCGGTGGGGATCCAGAACTAGTACTGGATTTACAGTGTCCCACTTCCCCACATGCGCTCCAAACACAGAATAAATAAATAAATAAATAAATAAATAAATAAATAAATAAGTAAATAAATAAATGTGTATATATATATATATGTGTATATGTATGTATTGCTTGATGTCCAAAGAGAAGAGCTATCTATATATCCGCCGACATTGCTCGGCGTGTCGGACACCTAAGAGAGGATAGAGGATAACCCCCCCCCTAACCCCCCCCGCCCGACGTCTATTACGTAGGCTTTTTTTTTTTGGGGGGGGGGGTCGTGGTTGGGAATATTGTGTTCTATTTGTCGTGGGCATGTTTTGTAGCAGCACACATCATCTGGCTCGCGCTTTTTCTAGCCTCGTCGACCGATATGAGTCGAAAAAAAGGCTAACCAGCATTCCGCTCTGAGTTCTCGTGATCTTCTTGCAAAACACAACAAAATACATATTTGTGAAGCATGTTCCAAATCCTAGCTTGTAGCTTTTGGCCAGACCCAATACAACTGCAGTTGCTTCGGAAACAAACTGTGTCTTCTGGTACCAACCCGCGCACAGCACTACATACACACAAACTCAAAACAAAAGAGACACACACACATATGTGTACATACGACTGTGACTATTGTTTTAGATGACTATCAAAAGCCCCCATGCAATTGTGAACCATGGATCCACACAACTATGAAACATAACATTGCAAAGGAAAGCCTTGACGAGGTCCACATTTGAGATCTGTAACCAGTAAATGGATTCCTGACAAACACAATGACTTGGGCATCTCCTAGACTACCTTCTGTGTGAACGACAGTCTGAGCATCGCTAGCTGTTCTGCCTGGGATAGAGAACACACTGCGCGAACAACAGCCGTGAACCCTTTCTGCCTGGGATAGAGTACACACCGTGTGAGCAACAGCCTAAACACAGTCACAGCTGCTGAACATCGAGTTGCAAGCCAGTAGGGAACAATTTTGGTGCACGAGAAGCAGCTGTATACTCCGGTATTTTAACAACATAAAGCATCGTGGAGAGTCATGAATCGTGAGCTCTAAAGCCTCAACACCGCGGTCGTTGGACTACAATTGCCGGCCACACTCAGAACGGTCTCAGCTCTTCGCTGCAGGCTTTCGCATATGCACCCCTATGCGTTTAACGCCTTCCTTCCGCTCTAGCGTGAAGGGGGTGCGCTTGCGAGGAATACCGGCCGGGCGCTTTAGCCCTCCGACCGGGGCCTCTCTCACAGCTTGAACCTCATCCTGCTTCTGCGCGGCCAGCTCCAGATCCCGTCGACGCACCTTGCCTGACGCACGCTGCTCCATGATCCAACTCTGCCATGTCGCAGGCGTCCATAGCCGCTTGCCGACACGGCGGGCCAAAACATGACTGCTGGGAATCTGCCTTGTGGTGGGGCTGTGCAACGCCAGCTGGTGAGGGAGCAACTTTGCCAAATGCATGATCTCCAGCTTGAGCTGCAACGTACTCCGATGCATTGATTGCACTTGGCGGAACCAGCCATTCATTTCCGCATGCAGCGCCTCGTTGCTGGTTGTCCCAGATGGAAGGAGAACTAGCTCTGAGCGTGATAGTGTGCATCTGAACCTGGAGTTATTCAGAAGGTACTCAATTGTCAGCCGTGGTAATGCCCAGTAAAATCTTGGCTACAGTTGTTCGCGTGCCTGGCACCTTGCGACCCATATCCTTCGAGTGCTCGCGCGCCAATGCTGCGAGAGCCTCGATGAATTGGATTCGTGTTGGCCACACGAGCAAGTCTTCGGCATCTCGTATGATGCGCCTTGCGCGCCGCAACGGCATTGTGCCTTCCGTGATGAGTTCTCGCAGTGATTGCTCTGGAGCCGATAGCCGTGCCAGAGTAGATCCGTCATAGAAGTTGCCCCACAAGTTAGCTGGCCATGAAGAATCTTTGCCACAGAACTTCGCCATGAAGCGCCGCAGCATACTCGAGCCTCCAGTACGCCTGCCACCTGTTGCCTCCTCGTAGTGCATGGAAGCATGTGTTGCATCGAGAACAACACATGACAGGTTCGGCAAGCGCTGTGCAAGCACATTCATCAGTTTACTCGAAGGGCTGTCCGTGGCTACGCACTTCACTTGCTCTAACGCTTGGTCTGGCAAAGCTTTCTGGATGCAAGAGGAAACTTCTTCCGCTCCTTCCCCTGTGCATGGAACCAGCCCCAGGACTGCTCCAGTTCGACCCCGCATGGTGATAATACGGCGGAAACTGGTGTTGTCCTTGAACGGATATTGCTGTCTGACAGCAGCAGGCTCATTGAAGCCTGCCTGTCCAAGGAGAGACAAGCAAACCCGGAATGTGCCATCCACTGAAAGGTACTTGTACTCGTCATGCCGCACAGCCATTCGCAGAAGCCTGCTCATTAAGCTCAAGCACTCGGTGGATCTGAATATGTCTTCCACTAGTGGCCACCAGCTAGCGGTGTGTGTTGGTAATAAGTTCGTCAGAACGTTCCCAGCACGGGCGGAATCCAACATCAGTCGCGGCCATGCGGTCTTCACCTGGCACAGGGATCGGGTCATGATTTCTTTGCCACTGTCACCCAACTTTTCAACATTCACTGAACATGTGTTGGTTTCAATGGCGCAATGCGACCCCTTGTTGCGCGGCATACGTTTGCTTGCTCACGCCTGCGCCTGATTTGCCCTCAGCCCGCCTTGGCATGGTTGAGCAGCATCTCCTGGAAGATCCGCTCCGCGAAGAGATGCGAATACCACAGATTGCCCACCCTGCGTGCCCACAAGTCCTGCGCCAAAACGCATGCGTTGACCAGAGTGGGCCCGCTGTCGTCCAGAAGCAGCCGGATATGCCTGTCAATCTGGTTATGATGATGACTCAGCGCTGGCTTCACGAGCCGTCGAATTACATCCGCGCTGCGAGCGATATAGTTAGCCAGTCTGTGCTCGTTCAGCATGTCCGAATCGTGCAGAGCCAGCACCACGCGAATTTGCTTTGTGCCAGAGCAACAGAACTGGTTGTCAATGGTATGATACTTGTGTAGATGCTGTGTAACCCGGGGAATCCTGTCGAAGCATCGAAATGGACATGCCGGACACCGATAAAGACCGTGCGTCTTCGCCAACATGCCGCGACTTGCCTTCGTAATCAGATGCTGTATTTCGACAGCTAGGTCTGCAGCAAGATTCTCGTCCACTGTCACAACGCTGTCTTCGTCCAGCCAAGCAAGCTCTGCGAGATCTGCTTGTTCGGCTTCATCCCGCAAGTTCTGGGGCTGGCCTTGAAAATCAGCACCGTCATCATCACTGTCCAGCACTATTGGAATGCCTGCTCCTTCTCGTGCTCCTGCAGCTACATCGAGGAATGACGAAGCTTCGCTGGACGGGATGAGATTGGACACATCTCCATCTGGCAGCGGCTCCAGCAAGTACAGCACGCAAGTACTGCTGTCGACTCCACTTTCCATGCAATATGTAAGCACATCATCATCCAAGACCATCGTCATGTCCTTGTCCCACACGCGAACAGTCCTCCGACCATCTACCTGCAAGCGCTCCACACCCACACAGTGTGGACACGCACCGTTTTCTGCATGCAGCAGCCACTTGCCCTGCGGCAAGCTGCTCAGAGACATGAAAGGAATAAGCTCGCAATTGAACATATCAGCACATTGCTTATATGTTCGGCAGCCACGCTGTTGTCTGTAAACATTGGAAACGTCTTCAGCCTGCTCAAGCTTAATTCTTTGCTCCGGAGGGATCGCCCCAAGGCACGCCATAGCGTGTGGGATGCAATTCCCTGGCTCGACGAAGATGTCCCCGGACGCGAAAGCGGGCTTCTCCGTGCTGCTTGCCTTTCTGCGCAGCAATCCGAAGACTGTGTCATGCTGCTTTTCCCTCAACTTGACATGAAAGGAAGTTGCGTCTGCTATTGCAGCTTCGCATTTTCTGCACACTGCTGCGGCATCATCGTCAGTCTCCTCGATCGCCAGCCTGATGC